TGCCGCTGGCCCCGCGTTGCAGACCAAGCGCGAGGCTCTCGGCCGGCGGGCGGCAGCCTGACAGGTCCCTGCTCTGACCGCGAGCTCCCAGAACTGCCAGGGCCGCGGGGCAGCGCCTGCTGACAGGGCACAGCGGCCCGTTCCCGCGCTGCTGGTACGGAGCCTCGTTTGCTACAGGCCTGCATTGTCGGGCGCGCGGACACCACATCGTGGGAAACGGACGAAGTATTCGGAACATCTGCCTGTCAGCGGATGCAGCAACGGCCCTGTGCCCAGAAACCGGGGAGGAACTTCCTGGAATGGATTCAAAATATTTGCACGCAGGGGGGTGGGCATCGTCAGACGTTGCCAATGAAGCACGGGGTCAATTATCAAGCGGTAACAGCCTAAATCAATGCCACATGCCGGGACGTTCAGGCTGCTTAACGTGCAGCCGGCTTTAAAGGGCCCTGACAAAGCGAGCCTGGGTCTGCTTCCTTCTGAGAGAAGAGTTGTGCCGAGGTTGCCGTGGAGACGCTGTCACTGGCCCCCACACTCCTCTGTGGGGACGGGGCGCCATGCAGAAGCAGGGTCCACGCGTTCCCTCTGAGGCTGCAGCTGGCTTCACCTGTCTGGTGGCTCCGTGAGCCTCACCTGGTGCCCCTGGGTGCGCCTCTCCTGCTTCTGCCATTTGCGTGCTCCCTCTCCTCAAATCCCCCCCACCCCCACAACAAGGGGCCCGGGATTAGCATGAGCTGAAAATTAAAGAGTCGAACTGAGTAACGACCACTTATTTGAATTCAATGACATCCTCTAACGCCCACCACCCGCGGGGCCTGCGGGGTCTCCTGGGCCCTCGCTCAGGACTTACACTGCGTGGGAGCCGGCGCAGCCAGCGGGACCCTGCCCCCCGCCAGGCCGCAGGCGGTGAGATTGTCTACGCCTGGAAGCAAAGGCTTTGCAGGCAGTTAAAGGGATTTCTTGCAAAATGATGATAAAACGCCATTCAAAGATGCAAACTTAGTGCCCCGCCCCCCGGCCCCAGGGGGAAAGAAGTTTCCTGAACAGTGGGTCCCTGGAGGTGAAGGGGCCTCTCGTTGGTGAGCCAGGACTCCCATGCTCAGGACAGTCCCCAAGCAGGTTAGAGCCTTTGTCCCTGGACGGTGGCCCCCAGGGACGGCAGGCGTCTTCCTCCAAGTGGAGGTATTTGCAACCAAGAGTCTGAAACAAGTGAAAACAAAACCAAACCAGCCAGACTCCCCTGTGCTGCTGAGGAGAAGCATCATTTCTTTTGCACCGCGGTTTGAGTTGCCACCTGTGTTTCCATTCACCTGTGAACCCTGAGGTTTTCCTAGTGGGGTTATTATCACACAAAGAACCGAGCCATCCTTTATTTATTTATTTTTGACATTGAATCTTGGGAAAGTTCCAAATCATAGGTGAATTTTTTTTTCTCCTGTAGCTTTGGTCATTAATCAACTCACCTGTCATGGCCGAGAAAACCTGAATCTCTGGCCTCTGAGTCCAGGATCGGTAATTTGCTGCACCTGAGGGCGTGGCTGGCGCTTCAACCGTCTGCCGCATTCAATTGGGGTAGTGAGGCCTAGGACCTGACTTTGCGATCCGGGGTCTTTTCCCCTAATTTCTGCTCATTTTTATGAAGTCGTGCATCGGGTCCCAGCGCCCCCTCCTGATAGACCGTTACAAACGCAGCGGCCGCGCCTCAGCTCTGCGGCTGCTGCTCTGCTCTGCGCCTGCCCTCCACGTTGTGTTGTGTTTTCTTTTCTTTTCCTTTATCGCCACCCCAGGATATTTCCATGGATTTTTAGAGAGAGAGGAGGCAGGGGAGAGAGGCAGCCGTCGGTTGCCTCGGATTTGCGCCCCGACCCGGAACCGAACGCTCAGCCTTTGGGGTTAGAAGACGAGGCACCGACCAAAGGGGCCATCGGCCAGGCCCCTCTGTTTTACGTCGGGAAAACACGGACGCCCGCAGAGCTGGGACCAGGGCAGGCAAGAGCGCGCCTTCGCTGGGACCCGTGCGAGCAGCGGGTGCAAGGTCCGGGCCTGGGTCCGGGCTCGCCGTGTGGCCACCCAGGATACCCGACACCTCCTGCCTTCCCTCCGCCGCCAGGGCACGGGCCAGGTGCGCCGCCTCCGAGGCCAGGCCTGTGTGTCCCGTTCAGCTGTGTCTGTCCCTAGTCCCGAGCTTCCGCCCGAGGGCGAGGGTCAGCCTGGGGCTGCAGAGGGTCCCTGCTGCTGCTTTCCGGCCCTTTCCCTCCAGGCGACTCCCTGCGTCCCCGGAAGGGCCGCCCTTCCTGGTGCCAGGCCGCTCGGCCGGGCTCACAACCAGCACCGGGCACCGCGGGATCCGCGCTGCCCGCACCTGCGGGGCATGCAGACGGGCTGCCGTCCCGACCTCCTGTTCCAGCTCCGTCTTTTCCAGGAGCGGACGGGGCGGGACACCCGGAAGCGGAGGCCTAACGCACCGGCATCACAGTTCCCGGAGGAGCCCTGACCCTGGCCTAGGGACCTGATCTGGGCCTTTCTCCGTCGGGCAGGGACGTTGTCGCTGTGGAAACCGCTTCCGCGCTTCTGCGTCCTCAGGACGGCGGGTCTGGACCCCGCAGGGCCGCTCAGCCCCCGGCAGCCCCTGCTTCTACCAGTCGGCGAAAGGGGTTCTGGGGATGTGCCTGTCGCCGGGGCAGGTCTCCAACCTGCGAGCTCCCGAGCCCCGGTGCCGCCCGCGTGGGGGCGCCCCCGCGTGTTCGCTGCCCTTCGGGCCCCCCATGGTCGCACGTGCCTCTGCGCCAGCCCTGGCCTCCCGTTCCTGAATTCACCCTCCTTCCCTCGGTTTAATCTGTCTTCAGACGCGCTCCTGAAACTAGGAAAACGCCAGCGATTAACAGTCGTTGTTCAAGGGTTGCCTGGGGTCTGGGTGCGCACGCCCGCGGGTGGGTGGGGCCTTCCAGATGCGCTTTCCTGCGGGTGCCAGTGTATGCGCGCGCACCAGGGGACTTCTGGCGCAGGAGAAACGAACACACAATCCGGACGCGGCTAGTCCAGGCCCGGCCTCGGCCCTCCCCGAGTCCACCGCGGCGCCGCTCCATCCAAACCGCCGGGCTGCTCTCCGGCAAGCGCCGCGGCCGGGCAGGCTCCGCACGGGGGAGCCCGAGGCGGGGCGGCGGCGCCACCTGCTGGCCTCTGGGAGGACATACGCGCCGCGCCGCGCGGAACCGGGATCAGAGCCCCCGGAGCTTGGGGATCTCCCGTAGCCCACGTCGGCCCTCGGGGGTGCGGCAGCAGGAGCTAGGTCAGCAGACATCGAGCCATTTCCACACGGGAAGCTGAAATCCAGGAAGGTCCGGAGGTCTGGTGGACCGAGCCTGGGGCGTGGAGTTGGACCTGCCCGGCTCCCCTGATGCTCCCCTCACGCCCCAGGCTCCTGCTTCTGGGGGAAAAGCCGGTCTGAACAAATCTCGGGGAGCCCGGGGAGCAGAATTCAAATCTCTGCCCGTGCAGATGGGCCTCGGGCGCATGAGGTCAGAGCGACAGCGGCGGAGCTGGGATCAGGCGCCGCCCTCGCCCACACCCAGATGGAAGTTCCAGGTCCCCCGGGACCCGGTGGGGCGCACGTGGCGCCGGCTGTGCCCCTCCCAACGGCCTGGCTGTTTCCCGGTGGCTTGGCTCAGGATGAGGCCCCCGGAGGGGGTCACCAGTCCCCGTGACCGCAGCGACCACAAAAGGTGGCGAAGTGGGACGGAGGCTGAACATTCGCTGAAAAGCCAATTCCGCAGGCGCAGATTCCTGCTTCAAAAACGCGAGCCTTTGCCTTACACACCAAGTGTACTTTGAGAGGTTCTTGGATAAGCTTTTATACTGTCAAAATAGTCTGAATTTACTACTAATGTTGCGATTTTTACTGTTAAAGGCATGTAACACTCCCAAGTTAATTTCAAATACTGAATTTATTTTGATCTAATGATTATGACATCAGTAACTGTTCCAAAAATATCACACACACACAGAGGGAATAGAAAACCCCATCATGTTTTTAACTGAGGTCATTTAACTTCAAATTCATGCAAAGTAACATCGTCACACTATCATCTCATGAACACGGAGGCTCAGACAGACGGCCCTGCTCCGGCAGGTCAACCGCTCTGCGGGCCCGGGAAACGCAGGCCCTCAGCCCCCGCGTGCCTCTCCCGTGACCACCCCAGGGCAGAGCCGGGGGGCAGCCTGGGAGACTGTGAGCCGAGGGTGCGCACGCAGGGACGGCAGAGTGTTAGTTCAATGGTTTTGCGTGGACTGGACTCTTCGTGATGAACGCTGACCACAGACACGCCGTGAACCGCGCAGCTCAGCACTGTTCACAGTTTGACCGGAGATCCCGAGGTCCTGGACACAAACCCGGCGTTGGGTTTAAACGCCAGCCTGAGCGGGTCTGCTGTGTGTTGGTTTATGATCTCAAACCCACAGGTTTACGACACGCGAGAGGCTGTTCTGAGGGCACAGCTGGTGCTAACAAGCACCCAAGGCCTCAGCTGCCGACGGCACTTCTGGGGACTCACCCACAGAAGCACATGGGGGTGCGGCTATGACACACGGACCTGGGGCTCGTGCGGACTCGCCGAGGGTCTGCTCTGGGCAAGGCCGCCCTGGTCTCCACAGTCCCCGAGGACCCTGGGCCTCAGTGCCGGCCGCGCCGCGCTCCTCTCTGCCGGCGGAGGAAGCCGAGCTGCCCCCCACCCTGGGATGGAGACCACTTTGCCCAACGACGCCGGCGCCTCCGCCCCACCGGTACGGCGCTGAAGGGACAGGGACTTTCAGTGTGTGCTGCAGCGGGACGCCAGCTCTCAGCTGTCTACTGACCCCCGAGAACCGGCCCCAGAAAGGCCCCCCCCGCTCAGGGCGGGCTTCGTCCCCGGGGCAGCCGCGCAGCGCGCCCCTGGCCGGCTCGGGGCGCGGCGAGCGCTGTTGGCCGGCCGAGACACCTGGTGCTGGTGCCGGTGCTGGTGGGGCCTTATCACTGGGCATCGCAGCTCCTGCCGCGACCCTGTGCCGCGTCACTGGCTGGGAAGGCAGCCTCGGTCTCTGAGCGTGACCTGCCGCGGGCGAGACAGCGCTGCTGTGAAAGACCACCCTTCCAGTCATTCCCCCTTCGGTCCTCGAGCCTCAGTGGGGGAGACCTCCCGGGGAGAGCGACGCTGCCGTCACTGTTCTTTCCTTCTCCTTCTCCTTTCTTTCACCTTCTCCTGCAAGTTCTTCAGGTCAGTCATCACGTTCAAAGTCTTCCGTACCCACATAACCTAAAAACAGGCGTTTGAAGAGTGTTTAGATTGGGAAACCCACAGAGAGAAAGCGGGAGCTCCGCCTATTGCCACGTACGTACCACAATGACCACGGCGTTGAGGAGCAGCGGCACCGAAAACACCAGCGAGATGAACATCCCCCTCGAATCGAAATACTGGTATTTTGAAAATAACCTGTTTGCAGACAACATTTTAAATCATTTGGCCTAATGGAACGCTTTACACACATTCTCCACGGACCCCCAGGCTCTGGGCAGTCTCCGGCCAAGGGGGGCGGCCCCACACGCCCCAGCTGCACTGCCCTCGTCGGCCGCGAGCAGCCTGGAGGCCGCTGTCAGGGAGGCGCGGCGGCCCCTGGTGACGTGGGCAGGGCCGCCAGCACAGGGAGGGGACGGGGAAGCACCAGGAAGTAACGCTGGTGGGGTGGGGGGGGCAGTTCTGAAGCGAAGCGAGGCTTGTCCCTGCGCCGCTGTGTGAGCAGCGGATCTGACGTGGACCCTCACGTGCTCCTGAGTGGAAAGCGCTGAACCCGTCACAGCTTCCACCCGGGGCGGGAGGACAGCAGCTGCGTGTGTGCCGGGCACGTCGCCCTGCTGAACTCTCTCACCGCCTCACTGGGGGCCACACGTCCGGGTCGCTGACCCACCAGAGCCGTCCTCTTTAGTGACATGTGTAACGCTTCGTATCTCAAGCGGCCAATGCTCCTGAGACCTGCTGTGTCACTGTCATTGGCACCCAATGGCAGTGGACACAACCCCGCTCAGTGAGACCTTGGCCTAGGGGACGATTACGGTGGTTGGAGCTCGCCTGTCGTGCTTCATCTCAGAGAAAACAGAGCAGGAGGGGACGTGGCCATGCGTGTGGGCCCAGCGGCAGCCAGGACGTAGCTGCACAATGCGGCTGAGCTGCCTGGCCCAGGAAGACAAGGACTGGGGGCCTGGGGGCAGGGCTGGCCCAGGAGGCCACGCTGCCGCCACGGAGGGCGGGCGGGGCGTCGGGAGGAGCCGTGCTGTGGCCAGGGCCGGGCAGAGGCCGTGGGCCCTCGGGAGGGACCTCTGCATGGCGTGAGGCCTCTGGGAGGGAAGGAGAAGCCGCCCTCGGGTGGAGGGGGTGGAGCGGGGGCTGTCCCGGGAAGCGGCAGAGCAGTGAGGTGGGAAGAGTTAACTTTATGACTTTGACTGACCCCTGCCTGCGGTACCACCCAGGCGGTGCCTGCCACCTGGGGCTCAGAGGGGCGGAATGGCTGGTGAGAAAGGAGGAAACCGGCAGGAAGCCACAGGACAGCGCCTGCTGCTCGCCTGCTGCTCGGGGTGCAGGTGGCACCCCTCCGAGCGCAGCTGGGGTTGCTTGGTAACGTTGAGGGGACTGCGTCTCCACCTGAGCCTGCCTGGCAGAGGCTACGCATTCCAAAAGGCAGGAGGCCGCGAGTGGGCTCACCTCCAGTTCATGGCGGCCGCCTCGTTGATGTACTCAGCACAGTAGACCAACGTGACTGCAAACGGAAGAAGACGCGTTAGAACTGAGGTGGCAGGTCGCTATGGAAACCCACTCTTTACAGGTGAATATTTAACCTGCACGTAACAGGTCAGCAAGTTTGAGAGAAAGCGTAATTTCTACTTTAGGGATGTTGTGAGCCAGAAGTTAGACAACCGTCAACCTACAGTTAGCAGAAAGGAAACCGAGGCCAGCACACAGCACAGCCTCCGTGGCCTCACGCACAGCCGCCGGAATCCTGGGCTCCTGCCCGAAAGCCGAGCGCTCACGCGCCATCCGCCCAGCACCTGGCCGGTCCCCGGACACAGGCCGGGCCCTTGGGACACGGGCAGCGGCGCTCCCAGCCGCACGGCTCTGACGACACGGGCTGCTGCTGAGCACTGCCCGCCCCCCCACCGCCCCGACCCCCCGGAAGGTGGTGCTCAGGGGACTCCTTTCAAACCCAGTGTCCGCAGCTTACTTTATCTTCGTGATTAGTTCCCAGAGTGGAACCGGGGCGAGCCCGAAGTTCATGGTAGGGCAGGAGACAGGGGCCAGCTCCCAGGACCCATTTTCACGCCGAGAAGGCGCACACAGCGCACCCCACACCCCCCAGGAGGCCCCGTACTCTACTCACCGAGGCACAGGAAGTGCCCGACCTGCAGCCTGTAGCTCTGGGACGATAGACAGGTGAGCAGCAGGCAGAGCACGTGGAAGGCGGCCAGGCCCAGCAGCCAGGGCTCGGTCCAGTCCGTCTGCTGTGGGGCGCACCACCGGACACCCATTAGCATCCACTGCCACAGGGCCGGCCACACATCCCCCGCGGGCAGTGGGGACTCAGCAGCCCCTCCCTCCTGGGGACGGGCTGCTGGGGCTCCTGAGCAAGTTGTCCAGAGGCTGGGCCCCTACCCCGGCCTCACAGAAGCAGGGGGCAGGAAGAGGAGCACGAGCCAGGAGATCCTCCAGGGCAACCAGGACCAGGGATCCCAAGGGGAATCCCGGTTTAATGCCAGAGCACTGGTGAGGGCCTCACCAACGTGCCCCGGTGTGCGGAGCAGTCACACCTCTGCGCTGGGCACCAGCTAAAGGCCATCGTCCCCCGGGGGGAGAAGGAAGTGAACGGGCGTGTTCAGCAGTTGCACTTGGTTGCTCCCGCTGCTCCGAGCTCCGTACCCCAGGGCTCAGGGCCGTGGGAACCCGAGCCGCCCCAATGGGGAATCTGCTGTTTCCTCCAACCTCTCCACCTGCAGCCCGTCCCGCAGGCCGCGCTGCCGTCGCGGGTCCCCCGACGGAACGGGGGACGTGTCCGCACCCCATGCTCAGACGCCCCGCCGGTGCGCAGGAGCCCCCGCACCCTGATCCATCCCTCACCGCCCGTGCTCACACGCACGCCCTCCCCAGCGCCCCCCTCCCCTGGCTCCGGACCAGGCGGGGCGGGCCTCAGAGCCCAGGACCCCGGGCCTGAGTGTGGCCGCGCTCCGGCACGACCGGCACCGCGGGGCCATGCATGGCGGACCCCGCAGCCTGGGCGGGCGAGTAGGACGCGAGCTACGTCCATCAACCCACGCGAGGGGCGCCACAAGGCGAGGGAACAGGGACACTGGACCCACGGCACCGCGCCACCCCGCCCACAGGCCGGCCCCGCCCCGTGACGTCCCCGGCCCACCCCACTGCCCAAGCCCCGCCCCCGCCGTCCAAGCCCCGCCCCAGGAAGCCCTGCCCCCAGCTCTCAGGCCCCGCTCCCGGAAGCTCAGCAATCACCGCCCGAGGGTCTCCCACACGCCCCGGTCTCGCCCCCAAAACCCCGTCCGGGACCGTAGTGTCCCTAGAGGAGGCCACACCGGCAGCACCGAGGTGGCCGCCAACTTACCATGATCACGGAGGGAATACTGACGGGGAAAGAAGTGACTGAGAAGGCGGACGGCATTGTGCCCGGGGAAGCCCGCCCTCACCACCGCCGCCCGGTCGGCCTCGCCGGATACCGGCAGCCGTACTCCCGCCGTCACCTCTCGCAGGTTCTCGTGTGTCGCGAGATTTGCGTTGGCGGAAATGGGCCGGTTACCCTGTGAACGCGTACAGCGTGCACATCTCGCGGTATTTCATGATGCTGAGGTGAAAACCGAGACTTTAACTGGTCCTTAAGTGCCCCAGGTCCTTCACAGGTTCCCAGCAGGACGACCGGGACGGGGTCCGCCGTGAGGGCCGAGCCGGTCCGGAGTTTCGTGGCGCAGCCCGTGTCGGCCGGGCAACGGCTGGTGGTCTTGGGCGCCGTCCCCGGGGGTCGGCCGCGTCTCCCGACGCGGAGTGGACGGACGCGCTGCTGCCCGCAGAGTCCCGTGCGCGCGGCCCCTGTCCACCCCAGAGCGGGGAGCGCGGGCGCCGCGGGTCGGGCCTCGGACCGCACGGTGTGCATCCCGGAGCGAAGTCCCGAGCCGGCCACAGCGAAGCAGCTCTGAGCCGTGCGAGCTGACTGTACTTTCCGTGGGAGAAATGGGAGCGGGGCGGGCGCTCCGCGGCCCCCGTTAGCGCTCCTACCTCGTCTCTTCCCACCGCCCCTCTCAGCCCCGCGCCGACCCTGGGTCTGCGTCCGGTTATTTGCTTTCCTCTCCTAGCACCCGAGCGAGCCCCGGCGGGTGCGGCTCAGGGAACTGCACTCCAGCCTGCGACCAGAGGGTCGGGGGTTCGATTCCCAGCCGGGGCGCAGGCTTGCCAGGTTCCGGCCGTGGGCGGGCGCCAGAGGCAGCCAGTCGGTGGTTCTCGCCTTTCTCCCTCCCTTCCCCTCTCTCTAAAAATATATGTATACTTTTAAAAAATGAGACGGATATGGACAGCAGGCTTTCCACTCCCAGCCCTCGTGTGCGCTCAGCACAAAGTGTGGCGCCCCGTCCCTGCCGCCTCCTGTCCAGCGTCGTCTTAGGGCTACGCTGGCCTCTTGCCTGCGACTTTGTCCCCGGCCGCCTCTGCCCTTTTACTCTGTTCCCACCGCTCCCCCTTGATTTCGGGGTCCACCGAGTTTTAGATCCTAGGTTTACCCCCTTTGCCAAAGTCAGGCACACAGCGTTCCCGACACGTGGGAGGAAAGATCCAGAAATATCCAAAGTGGTCCCGCACGTGGAGTCTATAATGAGCCTCACACAAAGCTGACGTTCTTGTCCTCTTACCACATGTGCCCCAGGAGGTGACCCTGCGCCCGGGCGCCCTGAAGCCCGGGCGCAGGTCGCAGTGCTCATCGCAGCGGCCCTGCGGGCGCGGCGTCCGCGGCCCTGGCTCCGAGCCGCAGTGCGGCCGCGCACCAGCAGGTGGCAGCACGAGGCCGCCCCGGGCGCCGCAGCGCCCTCTCCACTTTTGCGACAAAAGGAGTTTTCACTCAGAGCTGCTGAATTCGGAGTTTTCAGTCAACGCCATTTAATTTTAGGTGGAAAAGTATTTTTTCTGAACATCATGGAATAGCTAAATGTGTTATTTTTGAGTGCTTTATTGGCTTGCCTTTAGAAAATTGTGATTATTTTGAAATGTGCTTGTGAGAATTCATAATCATGGATAATAAAAGCTTTATAGATAAATCTAACATATTTAACATCTCACTTTTCCTTTATTTTTCGGTGCACCTCCAGCTCGCTGCTCACGGGAGCCTGTAACTGAGCGGCCACGTGGACCGTGCTGACTGCCGCCCCCCGGAGCCTCTCGGGGCGGTCCTGGCTCGGCCGCTCGTCTTCCGCCTCCAGCGCATGCGAGAGCAGGTCGTGAAAGCGTCTGAGGTGTGTGTGAACGAATGGCTCTCACGACGGCTCACGTCAGCAGTGATGGAGATGTCCTGGAGTTTTATTTTTGGACAGAGACGCTTAGGACCACACGTGATGAAACGCTGTTACTGCCAGGGGTTAGGTGACTCGACAAAGACCTTTCACGCAAAAGGAGGAGGAAGAGCTCGGGAAACAGGTATCGTTACCGTCTTCTCTGGGGAAATGGGGTCAGTAATGTGTTACCAGTGGAAGAAGTTCCCTTTTCCCCAAGCCAACAGGTGCTGAGGACAGAGGGTCCAGCACGAGTTTAGAAGGCCGGCCCTGGGGCGCGTTTCTCCCGCCCTGCGGGTTTCTGCAGGATTTCTTAGAATGTGGTACTAAAATGTGCTGTATATGAAGTTCACCGAACTATGAATTAAAAATAGTTTTGTAAACTCATAGTTTTGTACACTTTCCTCAGACAATAACTACATGGATTTTTAAAACAACTTTATTTTAATTTTCAGCACTGAGCCTTTATTGTATTAAAAAATATAACACATTTTACAAAACTATCTGTCGCGAAACAGAGACAGGTTTAAAATCATACATAGGCCCTGGCAGGATAGCTCAGTGGGTCAGAGCATCGTCCCTGAGACACCGAGGTTGTGGCTTTGGTCCCAGTCAGGGCACCCGCAACCGTCAACCAGTGAAGATGTAAGTAAGTATAACAACACATGGGTGTTCCTCTCTCTCTCCCTCCCTCAAATCAATAAATAAAAGCAGTCATCCTTATAAAAAACAAAATAAAATCGCTGTGTATAAGAACTGTTTAAATCCGCTCCACAGTCGGTCGTGATTTACTCGAGCTGCGGGTCAGGAGTCCGGCCCCCATCAGCCCGCAGACCAGGGCAAGCATGCGATGCCGTTCTGGGCACGCGGGTGCCTCCGTCGCCGAGGGCCGCGCCCCGGCCGACTGCCGAGGGAGTGATCTCTGACGCCTGGCGCGTGGTGTCCGCCGCAAGGGGCTGGCTGGGCCTGCACCGGAAGCAGAAGCCCTGCACTGACACATTTCTCAAATGCTCCCGTCCCCGCCTGCGGGACAGGCACCCCGGATCCGCTGTGCGGCGAGGAAACGGCGACCCGGCGGGGACACGCTGTCCAGGGCGACGCAGCCGGCGAGTCGAGAGGGGGTGTTGGACTTGGCTGAGTCCCTGCACCTGGGGAGTCCCTGCACCATCACAAGCCCCTTGACTTGGGAGACAGTGACCCCCTAGAGAGCAATAAGCCGGGGGCGCGGTGCCTGCTCCCCCTGCCCCAGGTGCGGGGCTTATTCTCTGAATTCACTTTTTCAAAAGCCCTGCTCAGCCCGCATCCACGTCCCTCGCGTCTGGGGCCCGCCTGCCCGGGAGGCTGCAGCTGCTGGCGGGGACAGAGCGGCTGGGACGTCCAGTTGCCTGTCCAGGTGACAGTTCCGTGAGAAACGTCAGCTGTTTGGGAGTAGAGATCGGCTGCTGAGATACAGCCGTGACTTCCCCGGCCCGTCGGGGAGACCGGCCGGAAAACCCGGGGACGTGGAGGGCGGCTAGTCTGCGCGTAAGAGTGGCCGACACCTGGGACTCCGCGGAAAGGCCAGGAGCAACAGGAACACATCTAAGGCGACACGGGCGACCCTCTTACAGCCACTGCTCGTGCCCCTCGTTCCCATGGCAATCTGCCCCAGGGACCTGACAGGCCCAGGCCCCTGCTGAGGCGGCCCGGGCGCTGGCTGCGTGCCCAGCAGCCCCGCGAGCCTCTCGGGTTCCGAACAGGCGCAGAGGACGCCCCTGGCGTCAGCCCGTGGGGCCCTGGTGGCCGGGGGCCGTCGGCGCACGTGTTTTTAAGGCTCTCCGGGACCTGACGTGTAATTATAAACGCAGCTGTTCAGTACAGCGACCTTTGCGCCAAATTGACGGGCCTGCGGCTTCTCACTCCCCTGCCACTCAGGGGCGCCTGTTACTGTCCCGGTGCCTGAAAGAGAGGCAAGAGCCCCGGACGGAATGGCACCAGCCACGGGAGGCAGCGCGACTCCGGCGTGTGCCAGCCGGGGCCTGCTCCGCGCGCGCGGTGTGCAGGAGGGTCTCGGGGAGTCCGCAGGAAGAGTGCTGCCCAGGGACCTCGAGGCCCCTCCGGAGCCAGGGGGCGGGACTCCTGCCCCTCCCTGGTGGGAGTCGGGACGGCGGGGTCTTCTCCCTGCGTCCCCACGTGTCCACCGAGTGTGCCTGTGCCCAAATCTCCTCTCATGAGGACAGTATCCACCGGGGAGTAGGACCCACGCTAGTGGCCCCGTTTTAGCTGAAGCAAAGGCCAGAGCCCCAGATTCCCTCACAGCCCGAGGCAGTGGGTGTGGGGCCTCCACACAGAAATCTGGGGACACAGCACCAGAGGGGACGTTCCGCACAGAGCGCAGGACTGGGCTCGCCTTCCACGTCCTGTCTGGCTCGGCAGCACCGGGCGGACAGGCCGCGGGGCCAGGGGATGCTGGGCCGGGGGACACGGGGTTTGAACAAGGTCCCCCCAGCATCCTCACTGGGGACTGTCACGTTTTCGCCGCCTGAGCCATAGTCTGTGGCGCGCAGCTGCAGCTAATGACGCCTTCCCGGCGGCGTTTCCGGGACGCGGGACGCTGCCTGAGCGGCGGGGCGCGGGCCGGCGAGGGGCTTCGCTCAGCGCCTGAGAGCTCGCCCTGCCCGCACCTGCCTGACCCAGTGGGGCCCCCCATGTCTCTCAGCTCCCGTTTCTGATGCGCAGACCCATGTCCGTCGGCTCCCAGTCCCGCCCTGCACGCGGCATCGACGCGGTCGCTGCGTGAGGACACCTTCCGTTTCGGGAGGCGTCGTTTCTAAAGGGCACTTCAGAGCTCGTCCACTTCTGTTGCACGTCGACTACTGAGTCTCCGGAAAGATGGGAAAGTCAGAAACGTTTTGTCTGAGAATCTACAGCCAGTTTAGGCCCAAGCAGTGGGGTCACGTAATAACTTTTTCCTAACGTGGGTGTTCCTGGGTTTGTTAAACAAACTGGGTGTTTATACGAATATTCTTCTCTGAAGCTGGACGTTGACGTTGCCTGATAAATGGCTCTTTTATGGAAGATGCGAATTTCTTGCTTTTTCAGCTTGCCAGGCTTGGGTTTCTCCTTCTGGAGGGAGCCAGACACGCGCAGGACACGGCACAGGACAGGGTTCCGTCTCCCGGAGCGGCGGGGACGTGGCGCTGTCGCGGGGAAGAAGGCGGACGCTGCGACCCCCGGGCAGGCGGG